TTATTTGACAGAGAGAGACACAGCGAGAGAGGGAACACAAGCAGGGGGAGTAGGAGGGGGAGAAGCAGACTCTGCTGAGCAGGGAGCCCGATGTGGGGCTCGATCCCAGGACCCTGGGATCATGACCTGAGCTGAAGGCAGACGCCCAACCGACTGAGCCACCCAGGCACCCCGGGAATTTGCATTTTAGATGTGAGGTCCTTGAGAGCCGGGGAGATGCCTTATCCACCCCTGTGTCTTTAGTAAGAGACATACAATTTCATTCCTGGTAAGACATCAACATTCGGTACATGCATGAAAGACAGCGCTGGTGGTTCTGGAGAAGAGGTGTGCATGAGGGAGACCACAAAGGAGGCCAGGCGGGGAGCGCTGAGGGTGTGAGCAAAGGGAGCAGTAGGGCTCGGGAGGAGGTGATGACATTTGAGACCTGTAGAATCAGACCGTTTGGTGACTGGCTGTGGTGGGAGCCCGGATGGATGAAGATAAAGCAAAGATGACTATGATTTCTGGCTAGGTGATGGCAAAGCTACTAAAAACTAGAAAGAAAAGAGGAGGAAGAACCGACTTGCTAATGTCTAGGACAACACAGTATGAAGTGCTCAGTGGACATAATGATTTTTTCTTCTCTCAGTAATGTTGCCTGAAAGCAAGGCTGTCATTGTTAACACTGCTGATCAACTCTTCCGAGGCTTTGAGGGAACCAAGAGTTGCAGTTTCAAGGTACCATAAAAAAAAAACCCACGTTACAGGGGCGCCTGGGTGGCTCAGTTGGTTGACGGTCTGCCTTTGGTTCAGGTCATGATCTCGGGGTCCTGGGATCAAGTCCCGAGTTGGGCTCCCTGCTCAGTGGGGAGCCTGCTTCCCCCTCTCCCTCTGCCGCGCCCCCTGCTTGTGCTCTCTCGCTCTCTCTCAAATAAATAAATAAAATCTTAAAAAAAAAAGTTACAATTATCACCCATATTATTTTAGGTCGTATGGATGATGGGACATCTCTGGAAAGGGCCAACTCTAAGCAACTGTGTTTCAATTGGAACATTACAAATACACAACTGAATGAAAGGTACAGAGATTTCCCTTATACCCCCCACCCCCACTCCCCAACCTCCCTCATCGTCAACATCTGCCACCAGAGTAGCACATTTGTTACAACTCATGAATCTACATTGACACGTCTTTATCACCTGGAACCTAAAACTACTCTAAAATATAAAATCTATCAGTTACAAGAACCCCAGACAACTGTATACTTGCATACGTTGCGCACGTATGCATGTACAACTATATCCCGCCACCTGTGGTGGAGACCAGTGGGACTATCTGGCGTGGGACTCTGACCCTGGGTCTCTCTCTAAGTCGTGTGGCAATGAGCCAGCTCTCAGATCCAATGTCCCACGGGATGGAGGGCTATCAAGTTCTCTGAGGAAGCTGAGGCATGTTGGAGAATCCCCCGAAACCGTAGGCACCTAAGATTAGAACTGCGTGGTGTGCATATCTAAAATATTTATTTGCCCCCATGGGGCCACTTTTATACACATCCCATAAAACAGCAGAGTACAAGGTGCCGGGGCGGGGGGTGGGGAGCACGGTGCTGGACATCTCCATAGCACACGCCATTGATTTGGCCCCAGCACACTTCTCCTTGGGAGGCTGGGAGGGCAGGCAGCTGGCTCCCCATTCCACCTGCACCAGGTGATGCTGGTTGGTATCTGTCCTGAGCCCTTTACGGAACTGCTGTGCTGTCTTATTCCTGATCCTGCTTTCTGTAGATGAGAAGACAATCTGTCGGGGGGCCGGCAGCACTGAAGTCCACTGTAGTTTGCAGAGCAACATTTACTGTTTCATCTGAGTCTTGGTTATTTCTACCGCCGGATTTAACAAAACTCTAATGTTAAATTTAAAGTAGCATGAGGGTTTTATAAAGACCTTGCATAATAAATTCCAGCCCATATGGCCTCATTCGCAGAATCTGAAAGACTGGTATTTACTTTTCTTACTATTTCCAAGGGGAAAAAAGGTTTAGATCTGCTTCTCCCCAGGCCTCCCAAATAATGGTGGTGTATTTTCTGTCTAATGGCATGGACAGAGGCCCTCTTCTGCTGACTTTATTGATCACGTTTGAGTTAATGGTAGTGGTTTGTTTGAAGTATAGATTTTTGTATGTGTGTGTTTGAGGTAAAATACACGCAAAGAGACAGATAGAATAGTCCTTCGGGTTCTCGCTGTGACCAGGAAGTTTTTATCTTTAAAAAAAAATTCTCTTTTCTTTGAGAATGAAAAATAACACTTAACAATCTTAGTTGGCTTTAGAGTTGGTCCAACTGGGGGATAACAAAATCTCATCAGTGACATTTTCAGGTTTAATAGGACTATATTTATATACTTAGAAGGACCAGGTGTATATAAAAACATTCATTTTTGATGAAAACTATAAGTGCTTATTAAAGCACTTTGACTTCTTTCTTTTCCAGTCACTGCTACCTGAAAATATCTCCGAATATTATGTTAAGGGAAAATATTTTGAAAAAAATGGAAAGTTATGTGAGAAGATGCATAATCCCAAATCACAGAAACAAAACAGAGGCAATATATGTAAACAATGTGTGCGTGCATGTGTGTGTAAATTATGTATGCCACATATTTCCTACCGTCCACTCTGCAATAGAGACTATTATTCTTTTCTTGTAGATTCAGGAACACAAGTGGCAATGACGGATTTCTAGTGACCTCTAGAAATCTTGATAAGGTCAACCCAAAATGGGAACCTATAGTTAAGCTTCGTCTTGGTGGCACAAGATAAAGGAGGGAGCTCAGGAATCGAGGGGCAGGGTCTGTGGTTTTATGTGGTTCTTGCCAAACTGGCTCAGGCAGAAGACAGCGTGCCGGGGGTATAGACCTGGGGATGACTCAGAACAAAGCCTCCAACTCTCAAGTAAGTGCACGATCAGGAGCTCTGCACCCAGGAGAACAAGGAGAAAAATGCTAGCCAACCCATTCCTTTTCTTTCTCCAACTTCCAAACATTATAATACCCCTGTTTTTTTACGTATTTTTCTGGAAGGAATGGTTAGAATGCCTAGGGTGGTCAAGGAGAGAGGAAAGTGGTTAAAAGGCATTTGCTGCAAAGCGACGGGGAAAAAATGGAATTGCTCTGTGCATAGCTGGTTGAGTTCTTCCACCTGTATCCATGATAAAGAGAATAAACAATCAGGGATTTTCCTCCTGGACAATTACTATTACATAGACTACCAGTGGGATCCAAAGCATTGCCACCGTGGACGGCTTGGAAGAGAACCATTATGAAGAGTCATTTGTAATGGGATTTTACTTCTGGTCCTAAAAAAATTTGATAACCAAATTTGTAATACAAATGATTAGAAAGGCCTGAAGACCGTTAATGGCAGAATTTGTTAAATGATATATTCACCATGAATACCCCATCTTTCTAATTCACGTGCCTTGCTTGGGCATATTGAATATATCAACTGTGATCTATCTGGACTGAAATGGGCCTGATTAAGACAGCATTCTGGAAGAGGAGTTTTCCAGCCCCCTGCCCACTACTGACTTGAAGTTTGACTGTAGTCATTCCTAAAAGACGTTCAACAAAATTTCTTAGATGAATTGATCTCAAGCACAGCTCAGGGTTTACTAATTTGTGGGGAATTAGTGGGAAGCTGTAGGGAAGCTAAGGAGTGTCCTCATCCACAAAAGATGTGAAAGGAGGGGGTTTTGGCTTTGGGGAATGCTGCATATGTCAGCGGCTAGTTTTTAAGAAGTATGAAAGGCAGAGGTCACCAAAACATCAAGCGCACACTGGTTCTTGAGAAGGAAGTTCATGGCAGGACATTGTTAGATGTGCAGATGTGCAGGGCTTGAGGCCTGGGGTGGGGGCTGCGTGTACAACACTTCCCAGACGCAGATGACTAGTGGTGGCAGTGTGGCCAGGAAGGGGAATACCAAGACTTCACCCCAAGTGGTGTGAAGGCCAGTGGAGAAAGCATGCTTGACACTAAGTCTCTGGGGGCTACCTGGAGCCTAGCCAGCCATCAGGTAACAAGATCTGAATTTTGAGCTGCCCAAAGCCAGTGGTGTTTGCCCACATCTTAGTTTTGAGACAAGATTTTTTACTCCCTTTGACAAGACATTCTTGGATTTGAAATTAAGAGTGGCGAACACAAAATATGGCCTGGATTCTGTTTCATCCCCCCACTGGTCTGACACCACCTGTGTACTTGTAATCCACTTCTGGCAATAACCACCCAGAATTAGCGCTGACTCCACGAGTGGAGGGCTCAGTCCTCCACAACACTGCTCCTACTTCAGATGTCAGGCACAGTTTGGGGGTTCCCAGGTCACCTGCCCTATTGACCAATGGGTTACAAATTTGGGAGGTTCCTACAGCCCTCTCAGGTTTGATAATTTGCTAAAAGCATTATAGTTAAGGACTATACATTTATTATAAAGGATACAAAACAGGACCAACTAGATGAAGAGATACATGGTGCAAGGTCTAGAAGGGTCCTGAATGCACTCTCTGGGAGAATCAGGAGCTGTCACCCTCCTGGCCCATCAATGTGCTCACCAACCAAGACACCCTTCTGAGCTTCTGTGTCCAGTTTTTACTGGGGTTTTATTATGTAGGTGCGATTGATTAAATCATTGACCAAGTGATTGAATGTGCTCTCCAACTCTCCTCCTCACCCTTGAGGTGGGGCTGTTGCTCAGTCCCAACCTTCTAAGGAGGTTGTTAGTCTTTGTAGTGACCAGCCCCCATCCTGAAGCTATCCAGGAACCCCCACCCCCAGCCCATCATCTTATTAGCATAAACTCAGGTGTGATCCAGAGGCTCATGAATAGCAAGTACGCTTCTATCACTTGGGAAATTCCCAGGATTTTAGAAGCTCTGTGTCAGGAACCTGGGACAAAGACCAGACAAACTCTGTTATAGCATGAGAATACAGGTCACGTGGGCATGTTTCTATATAATGAACTTTAAATGATATAGAGAGGGTTCTGATATGTTTTCCACACTGGAGCCAGCACACAGAGAAAAGTCCATATGAGGACACAGCAAGAAGATGGCTGTCTGCAAGCCAAGGAGAGAGGTGTCAGGAGAAACCAGACCTGCTGATACCCTCGTCTTGGACTTCCAGCCTCTTGAACTGTGAGAAATAAATGTCTGTTGTTTAAGCACCCAGTCGGTGAGATTTTGTTATGGGAGCCTTAGCAGACGAATATAGGGCCTTTGTTAATGCATTTTCTCAAAGTTTGCCTTGCCAGTTTTGTTCCTGAGGAGACTCTAAGGTGTTCTCCAAGGTGCGTGCTGCTAATTTGCTGGCGTGGGGACGGCTTCTGGCTCTGTGTTGGGGTGGGGATTCTGCCTGTGAAGTTGTTCCGTGTTGACCCTTCTGTGCTCTATTCTATCCTTTTCTGTTCACGGCTGTGCTGTCCAAGGTTGTTCTTTACCTGCATTTTGTGAGAATTCTTGTTCATACCATTAAATCTGCCCTGGACTGGAGCTGCTCTGGGGCTGTTTTGGTTGAATGATCTTATGCCCACTGTCAGGTGGATTAGTCTTGTCAAGTATAATCATTCTGTTGGGAAGCTATAGGAAACAGATGCAGAAGAATTAGGTGAATTCTACCTGAGCACATATAGCTAGTTAGTAAGATAATTGAAATTAGAATACCAAATTCTGACCTCATATTTAACTGTTCTTTCCACTCTAACCCTGAACGGTCTCACATTTGTGAGTAAAAGAATGGAAAAATTTTGTTGACAATCTTCACACCTCTCAAAATGTGTGGAACCATAGCAAGCTACTTGTCCTGTTAGTGTCACCTCATTAGAGTCTGGGACTATAGGAACCAGAAGAAGCAATTAATAGCAATAAGCTCGATTTTTCTTAACGTTCCCCTTCAGAGGTTCTGAGCAAAGACAGCTAAGAATCCAGATCACCCAAAAGTGCCAATTAAGGGAACTTGACTGCATATCCAGATGACAAAACTGCTACCAATCATCCAGAGATTTCTTTTCAGTGTCTACTTTGTAAAAAGTGGAAGGTGAATTCATCCATACCAGGTGCTGATATGTTCATACCTTCAGCTTTAAAAATCAATGAGAAAGAAGACTTCGGTTTTCCCACCTGAGATAAAGTGTTCTAAAAACATCTTATTATAAATTACTTGTTTGTGGACACCCAAAAGGTTCCATAAAAGATGAGATATGGATATAATTTAAGGGAGATGTAGTTTAAGGTTTTATGAGATTAAAAAGCAAGGATGCACAGAAAGTTTCCAGCTCTTCCGGTCGATCTGATGGACCCTTGAGTTCTTCCCTTGATTATCTTGTTCTTTTGCCAGCAGTCTTCATGTTGAAATGAATAGAATGCAGATGATTAACTCAGAAATAAGCAGGTCATCTGATGAAGAGGAAGAAGAACCATCTGCCAGGAGGACCTGTCCTACTAAACCTTCGGCATCTCCTCTAAGGTTTAAAGGCTTTTGTGTCTTTCTCATCCAGCTTGTCCGGGGTCTTCAGGCTCAGGCCTTCATGCTGGAGATGCCTGCCTCCTTTGCTCATATTCACACAAATCCACAAGTACCGTGTTTCATGATTTAGAAGAGTTTTTCCCTTTTTAACGAGGATCCAATCAGGAGAAGATCGGCAAATGCAGCAGTTTTAGAATTAATCATTTTGTTTGTTTTGTGTTTAAAACCCAAGTTATTAACTACTTCAAAATAGATCTTCAAAATGGAGTGAACCAATTGTAATCAAAATTCTAGTGCACAGCCCCGCACATCACAAGGCCCTGCCTCCCCTCAGCATATTTCTAAATAGTTGTAGATTGTTTTCTCAATCTGTGTGCG